CTTTTGTAAAATAAAACACCATTTTGAAACCGATTTTAAATTAATTTTTGTTACAGAAATAATTCGCCTGAGCGGACTCCGTGCAGGCTAATTTTGGTAACGCCTAGCACGCCCCCGCTGCCTAAACTGCAATCGTGGCAGATCGCCAAACCCTTAGTTGAAAGATAAAACAGAAACTTATTTGAACTTGTGCATTTCTTGAGTTCATAAACGCATTATCTTCCTTTTTACTTACAGAGTCTTGACTCTTCCGCCGCCTGAAAAGAAACCACAGCGCGAACCCTCCACTCAAAGGTGAAACAACGATTAATTTGAACTCTGGCATATTCTTATGACTTCTTATGATACATATTAATTTCCTTTTTACTTACAGAATCTTGCCAGTGTGCGGATCCGTATCGGCTTTATCAGCGTCGGCCAAGCCTTTATCGTTTTGTTCTTCTCGAAGAGAATCCATACAGTCGATAAGTAAGTCTAACGTTGCAAATGTGATTTTAAATGTATTGTATTATTTTATTGCAATTCACATCACATATTCATTTCTTTGTTATTAGAAATGGGTTCTAAAAAAGCCGAAAACATACTGACGTCGTGGATAGACCAGCAAATGGCTGAAGAAATGAGCGATGAGGAAGAATTGGAAGAGTTGTCATTATTGGAGGACAATTTTAATTGCATCAACACACAAGCTGCCCACATGCCGGACGGATTAAATCCAGATGTAATAGCTTGGCTGGCTACTGAAGACGCCATAGCAGACAGAGTACTGCACGACTTAGTACCGGCCGACTACCTTGATTTTGACTGGACGAATGACCCTAGTTCATTTCATGGACGGCGAGAAGAATTCACTGGCAATCCAGGCCCTACATTTTCTGTGGATAATCTAACAAGGTTAGATATATTTTTTAAGTTCTTTGATGATGAACTTTTCGACTTGCTCGTCCATGAAACGAACAAGTACTCGACATTTTTAATTGACCGTGACTTCACCACTCCCAATTGCAGACTGACGAAGTGGACTAACACCGACCGATGTGAGATTGCCAGATTCCTTTCAATACTCATTTTTCAGGGTCTGTTCCCACTTACCGTTGAAAGTGTGTATTGGAAAGAAAATGGGTATCTCACTCTGAAATACTTTGGAAACATAATGAAATATAACCGATTCATGCTGTTGACCAACCACTGCTAAACAGCTTGCAAAAAAAGTTTAGCACTCTGTATCTTCCCTCGCAAAACATCGCAGTAGACGAGTCGCTCCTTAAGTGGCATGGCCGGTTGAGTTTCTCACAAAAAATCGCTACTAAAGCCGCTAAGGTTGGCATTAAATCTTTTGAGCTTTGTGAATCCTCAACTGGCTACTTGTGGAGCTTCTTTGTTTATACAGGCAAAGGGACTAACGACCAAACTAAAGACGGACTGACAGACAAGGTACCAGAGACAGACAGACAAATAGACCTAATAGACCTGACAGATGACTTTACAAACAACAATAGTGCATGAACTCGCCAAGCCATTATTCAAGAAAGGGCCCACTTTAATAATGGATAATTTCTATAATTCACCTTTATTGGCACGTTATTTAAAAAGTCAGGGTACTGATGTTTACGGGACAATCCGTTTAAATTGGGAATTTGTTCCTGAATCCATTAAAAGTGTGTCCAAGCATGAGATGCGAATTGGCGAAGTTATGCAAAGTTATTGCAAGGATTTGTCCGTGATGTTGTGGCGTGATGATATCAACTTTTCATCGAGGGGAAGTTGGAGGGAAGGAAAAATATGGACGTTATAGATTTAAGCCTCAAGTTGTTTTAGACTACAATAAATCTATGGGAGGTGTGGATAAAAAGGACCAGCTTTTATCCGCACATCCCATGGAAAGAGTAAGAAACCACGTGTGGTATAAGAAAGTGTTCAGGCGCCTATTGAACATAACCGTATTGAACGCATATATCATATACAAAACACGCCACCCCAATATAACATCGCAAGTTCAGAACTCTCCTGGCTGAGCAATTGGCTCAGGTAGGTAAACCGGCGGAACCCATGACAGAACTGGTCACCGTATCATGGAGATCGCATTTGGGACAAACTCCGCGAACGAAACTGTCTGGTAACCATTTTATCGGCCCGGGGAAATCAAAGCGTTGTGTATGTGTTTGGCGTCGTAAATGCAGGTCCAAATATATATGCAAGTAATGCAATGTCCCAAGTAATAAGGTCCCAAGCAAAATACAAAAATAAGATATCATGCAGTTTAAATCTACTATTAAAAAATACTTACTAAAAAGATTCTTATAAGGTATCTGATTATACAACAGATAAGAATGCTTGGAGTTAAGATGGTCAAGCGACTGGATGGGTGATTTCTTCTAAATTCATTATATCTCTAAGATTATCTTGCTACCATTATTATTAAATTATTATCAGGGGCTCATATAAATATTAAGTTCTATTGTAACCAAAATAAATATCAAAAGAAATATCAGATATTATGTTATCATTATATGATCATAGTTTTTGTTTTCTCTATTTATACTGTATTTGATCTCGTAAGGACATGGTTTTTGTGAATGTCATTACTCCCATTAGAGCTGGTGAATTTCTTGCTCGTTCTTCTTATCAGCCAAAAGACGTCCTGAACGAGTGGTAGGGAAAAAAATGTTGGACGATTCAAAAGTACTTTTAAGAAGTCTGTTTGAATAAAGATTATTTTGACTTTATATATACATATATATAAACATACATACATAGACATACAAAGAAAAGAAAATTTAAAATATATACATAGTTTTATTTAATATGTGCGACAAACCTGAACAAAATTCCTTTCGGCGGCGGCCATCTTGGTAGCAAATGGCCCGTAAGCCAGCGTTCGGCAGCACGGCGTTGGATAATTTGTCGCCATTAAACGATATATCGTTTACATTTCAGAAGAAGATTAACTAAGTGTTACATACTTTTAGAAACTACAGGTTTTACTCTTTCTGCACGTATAATTAATAGGTACAAGAAAATATGATTGAAGTTAGTAAATTTGTTGTAACAAAAATAACTTTTTTTTTGGGGCCGCTGCAATGTTATATTAATGTTTACATAGATACTTTTCTTCCAGTATATCAACATTTTTATAAAATATGAAAGCTAAAAGCTGTATCTTTTTAAAATATGTTATATTTTTGTCACAAGTCACCTACAATTGAAATAAAATACCACTGAAAGGCATCTCGACTCTGTGGCGAATTTGGACGCGCGGGATAAAATGGCACGATTATACAAACCCTATTACGACGGTTAAATTGCTTTCAATTTATAAAAAATATAATATATATGGAAAGATATATTCTTCTAGTTTAAAATGATGTAAAAATAAATACTAGTTATTGATTTAGATTTACTGCTATGAATCAATTTCTATTACAAGTTCTGAATTTTTTCGTTAGCAAAATTCTCGTACTTCTAATTAATTATTTTATCATAATTGGTACTAGTTTTTTTTAATACTTATAGCTGTATTCATAAGCTATATGAAATATAACATTATTTGTTCGTAAACGAACAAGGTCTGGTCATAAAAACGGTTTTAATGCAGCTGTTCAAGTGCTCTACGGTGACGCGACATTGCGTGACAAACAAGGTATATTGAGCGCTAGCCGCGCGACAAACGAGTGGTTAGAAGGTTTAAAAGAGCTTCTTCCCCGAAACAGTCAAAGAATGATGAATGGATTTCAGACTTCTTAGGAAAATATGCACCATTATCAGCTCCTGGCAAAAAGGTCATTTTATTTTATCCTTCAGAATTAGACATTTAGAATAATTCTAAGGAAGTAATAATAAATAAGTTATTATAGTGTACTCCCTTCGTACATTACTGAAACTTTATTGAAACCTTGTTAGAAAATGCATAGTAATGTTTGTACTGCGCTATACTATGTTTCCTGTTTTGTGCTTTCATCACAAATAATTCAAACGTTATCTATTACAAATAATACAAACTATCCTTCTAAGAATTTTGGTAAAGAATAGAGATTCCTGTAAAAAACATTGCAACATCCAAGCCAAAAGATATGAGTATTATTTTGAATCCGTTGCGAGAATTTGTGAGCAAAATGGAAGAAGGAGATACTGAAGAAGTCTTAAGAAGATATAAAATATGTAATTACTTGTTGAACTTGATGTTGTAATCAAAGAAAAGGGACTGAACAAGTAGATCGAATGTAGTGAAATTACGCTGTGATGTATCAGTTCTCAAGAGCGGAACAGTTAACTTGATTTACACTACACATAAAATGCCGAAAATCCTACACAAATCGTCGGGGATAGTGCAAACCTGCGTAACGAGCATTGGATAATTCCGCGTATCTGACAGGTGTAGCCAATTTTAAATTTCGCGGGCATTCCACGCTAGACCCCGATTGCCAGCCTTCTCATTGACGTGACTTGCGTTCAACCAATAGAAAGCGAGAATTCGCCCAAAAACAATACTGCGTATCTACAACCGGCATTTAGACAAAACTGCGTATCTTCAGGTGTCATTGGAAGCGTATTTCGTGGTTCATTTGTGTTGTTAAACTCTGTTTACGTTAAAAAAAAGTTATTATAATATCAGGTAAGTGTTGATTAAATATTGATTAACTACTTTCTGTGTGAAATGTTAAGATTTAAGACTCATTTAAATGCATTTTTACTTCATCTACTCCTAACCTAACATTTTTGACCAAACTGCCCATTATTATAAAAATAAACGTGCCTACGCGGTTTTGCTTTTCATTAATGTAATTTTACTTTAATGAATAGTAAGACCGCGTAATTTACGTCTTATTCGGATGCACTTGATTATATTATTTTTATTTTCAGCATTAACATGGCGAATGAGCCATGTAGCGAAGAAGAAACACTTCACGTCGTAACATTAATGGATTTAAAGAAAAGGTGCGACAAGTTATTGGAGCTTCAAAAAAACATGTTGCGTAGGCAATCTAATCAAAACGCTGCTGATGAAAATACCAAAGAGTTTTCTAAAAACTTACCTAGTATGTACCAGTCTTGTTAATTCTGAGAATCAAGAGGATCTTGCTAAAGAAACTGAATCTTTAGCTTATTGTGACACAACCACTTTTAGAGCTATTTGCTTAGAAAATCAGCTGGAGATTAATGATCATGACAATGTTTCTGGCCTGACTATAACTTCGATGAATAATTTGGTATCTAACGTTTCGAAAGAGGAATTAGGCACTGAAATTAATAATGAACTAAGTGAATTCGGTTTTGATTTTTCATCAGATGGTTCTGTTGCCGACCCAAATTACTGTCCACTCTCTGAAATTACCAATTTTGCACCTATAGCTTCAACATCAACTGACAGCAATAATAATTTGTTTCCTGAAACAATTTTGGAACGTGAGATGGCTATCGAGTCTAGAGTAAGGAAACGAAAAGCAGACGTAATGTCTACGAAAAGGTTAAGAAACAAGACGTTAAGAATGTTGGGTCAAGAATATGTAGGTTTTAGAAAAACTGAAGATGAAAAATTTTTACAAGACTATCAAACCTGCGCGACAACTTTGTAATTCAAGCAAACGTTTAAATTGAAAAGTATTTAACTGCGATAAATTTACAGAAACAGTACGAATAAATATTTTTAACGAATTTTGGAAGATGACTTGGCCAGAGAAGAAAATGTTTCTTTCATCGTTAGTGGACAGAAAAACAACTAAAAGAAAAACCACTGGAAGGGCTGATACAAGACGAAGTGCTACAAAAGCCTATTATTTAAAATTAACTGACCAAAAAATGAGAGTATGCTTAAAGACGTTTTTAGGAACATTGGGAATTAAGGAGTGGACAGTAAGATACTGGCTAGGAGAGAAACCAAACGAAGAATCGACTATAGGCCAGAGAGAAGTTGCAATGCCTAAGTTGAAGGAGTTGGTACAAATATTTTTAAGAGCTATGCCCAAAATGCCTTCTCATTACTGTAGGAAAGACAGTACAAAACTCTATTTAGAACCCATAATACAGTCCAAACGTGAACTCTATCGTATTTATGTTAAAGAGGCAACAAAAACTGGACAGAAAGTAGCTTCCAGAAAACTTTTAGAGGATGTTTTGAAAGATGACAACATAGCTCTGTTTCAACCAAAAAAAGACACATATGATCTATGTTGCTCTTATAAAGCTGGCAATATCACTGAGGAAATATATAAACAATATGTATCACGAAAAGATTTAGCAAGACTGGAAAAGACTTCAGATAAAGAGGCTGCGAAAAAAGGAACGCTTCATGTAGTAACAGCTGATTCACAAGCTGTAAAATTATGTCCGTTTTTGACAGCCAGTGCATTGCATTTTAAAACAAAGTTGATGGTTCATAATTTTACAGTATACAATCTGGGTACTAATGACGTGAAGTGCTACTGGTTTGATGAGACAGCATCAGATTTAAAAGTACCAACGTACGCTTCCTTTTTTGTCGATTATTTGAAGAAAACCATAGAAGAAAATCCTAAAAACGTCGTAATTTTCACTGATGGCTGTACCTCACAAAAATAGAAATGTTGTTCTTTCGAACGCCCTTCTGCACTTGGCAATGGAAAAAAAAGTGGTAATCACTCAAAAATTTTTAGAAAAAGGCCTTACTCAAATGGATTTGGATTCAATTCACTCCGTAATTGAAAGAAAGTTAAAACACCGAGAAATATTTTTACCTAGTCAATACTCTTCAGTTACTAAAGAAGCTAGACTGAATCCATCTCCATATGAAGTAGTAACGGCTGACCACACTTTTTTCAAGGATCATAGCATCAAAAGTAATCTTATTTACCATACAATCCGCCCTGGAAGAGGAACTGCCGCAAAGTGCGTAGTGGATATTAGAGTTCTTAAGTACAATCCCAATGGAACAATCGAATACAAACTGAACTAAAATGACGAATTTCAGCCGTAACCACAAAGGTCAAAAAAGATTGGTCCATTTATTCCACCACAGCTCTTTACTGAGAAATTTCCAATCACAAAATCAAAGTATGAACATTTACAGCAATTAAAAAGTGTCATACCCGTAGATTGTCATGAGTTCTATGACAATTTACCTTGTAAGGACAATTAATTATTCAAAATGTCTTTGTTAGATAGCTGAAAAACTTTGCTAATAAGTATTTTTTATTTAAATGTATAAGTGTAATTTGTTTTTAAAATGACTGAGAGATAAAGTTTATTTTTGCTAAATAGCTGAAGAACCTAATATTGTTTTTATAATTTAAATGTGTAAGAGTAATTTGTTTTTAAAATTATTGATTGATATTTTTGTCATATAGCTAAAGCTCTTGTTTTTGTTTTAAACTTTGAAAAGATTTAAGCTTGTGATATCTACTATCTAATAAAACCCTTAATTATAGAAAAGGCTGATAAATAATCTAAGACTGATAAAAAAGTGCTGTTGATATTTTAAGTTAATAGTTAAGGGAAATTGTATAGAAAAATACTTTGATTAATAAATAAGTTTCTTTTGTAAGAACAATGCTCAAAAGGCTATAAAGATTTTGTAAGTCGTGTTTTCTTTAATTATAAATATTATTTGTAACATTAACTACCTCTTTAATTTCAAAACCGCGCAACTTACATGTTAAGTTCCATTTTGATAAGACTGTGGTCAAATCAAATCCGCGTAAATAGCGTGGGGGTCAAAATAATCATTGTAACAGATAATCTATGGCAAAAATACATAGAAAACATCGATTATTTCTCTATATATAAAAATGAGCCAAATCGCCCTTAAAATAACGAAGTTAAAAAGTTTTAACCGTGAAAAACAAGATAAATGCAGATACGCGGCCTTTACCTGTGGTAGATTCGCGGCATTGCACTATCCCCGACGAAATCCGAAATGTGTCAATGCTGTTGCGAAACGATTGTGTGCCGGAGAAGAACCTCGACTCCCGTCAAATTTTGATTTCACTACAAAATGTTTCTTTTGCAATGAAGATGCATCAAAATCATTTGAAGAAAAAGAAAAAAAGAAACCAGCGTCTTCACGGGCCATTATATCGCACGTTCAAAGTGAAATGACGAAAACTAATATTATAATAAAATGTACCAATAGGGGCGACCAGTGGAGTACCGAAGTGAGTACCTATCATTGTATTTTATTTATTTATAGACACATCCAATAATATTGAGGTATAATTTACACAAGAGCCAGACATGTACTAAAAGAGTTGTTATGACATAATAGAATTAAAAGAAATACGATATTTTCTTCATGCGTATGTAATTCTCCATTTCATAACATTTTTATAACATATGTCTAAAAAGAGAGTATATATACAATGACTACAATGACTATACTATACTATACTATATTCTATTATGTCTTAACAGGAGTATTTAATAATGGAGTATGTTGGTTAAATTCACTGTTTAAGACATAGTAAAAAAAAATATGGCATTTAGAAAACAACGGTGAACCAATTACAAAAGTGCATATTGCATGTGTTCTGGAACTAGCATTAAAAAAATCTATAAAACCAGAAACTCTGATTAATGGCTTTAGTTGTTGTGGTTTAGTGCCATTCGATCCTAACGCGGTTGACTATTCCAAGTGCCTCGGTGGAATAAACAATAATAATAATTCAGATACAGAAGTTCTGCCTGTTCAACAACAACCTGAAACAAGTTCTTCTAGTGTTATTACTTTGGTGAAATTTAGAGAGCTGGTTGGACCATCTACAATGTCAAAATTGTATGCTTATGGTTATATCCCTGAAGATGATGAAAACTTGAATATTTTGTACCGTCTCTATTCAATATTTGATGTCCACTCCTTTAAATCACCATCAGCACAAAATGTTTCAACTAGCCGTGAAGACGATATACCTTTGGCGTATCTACATATATACGCCGGCTCTATAGCCGCCTTTGACTATTCAGATCAACGGAGAAATAGCAATGAATGATGAAAGTCGATGTGATGAAGATATAACACTGAAGCAAATTTTGGTGGTTAACGTCCAACGATGATAATTTGAAGGAAAATCTACTTATTCCCGATGTTGTTCCTGAAAGTTCAGAAAACATGACTTCGGCCAAACAAAATGTGGATTCTAATAATTTTTCTGTAAACTCAGCACAAATGAATTTTCAGCAACTCGCATGCGAGGCTAGCCCTGCTTTTAAAATTGTGTCTAACAGAATATTGGGAAATTATTTAACTTTGCCAAAAACGCCCGAAAGGAAGGGTAAAAGAAACACCGTGAGAATGCCAATTGCAATATCGTCTGTCAAATATAGAACAATGTTTAAAGAACAAAAAAAGAAGTAGAAATAACAGCAAAAGAAAAGAAAAAGGAACAGACTAAACTACAGAAAGAAAAGGAAATAAAACAGAATATTAACAAAAAATCATATTAAATATTAACACCATCGATATCTCGAATTCTGTAAATCGATTATTCAAGCACTGAACGCATCCTTAAAGCATTTATGACATATGGCAACACTGAGGTAACTGTCATTTCATTCGGCATAAGATTTCAGTTTGACGGGTTATTAAAAGTTTTCTACATAAAAAGTACTGTGCCACAAACTTAACTGACCCGGTGGCAAAAACTGGAACTACGTGCCGCCATTTTGAAATGTCACATTGCTGTCAAGTTTGTTGTTGTGCACGACGCTTGCCAAGTTTTCGTTATTTTTGTGGTTTTAGTGATATAAATCATGCCGAGAGCATTGAAAAGTGATGCAAGAAACACTATTTTAAAAGTGTTAGCTTTTATGCAGGAGGAGAAACGTCTCAAAGCGCCGTTAATACCATTTGAAAAACTGTATGAACGAGTAGCTGCTGCTACAGGTTAGTCTTGCCAGTTGTTGCTATGAATTATCCCATTGTTGTAGTTATATTTAAACCGAAATATACATTAAATTAGTATTTTTTGGACTATTTTTGGTAACGTAATTATGATAAATCTAAGTGAAGCGGTCAATATTTACGTTAGCTTCAACAAAGTACATCCATTATGGGCTATTGGCTCGTTTTGCCACTTTCTTGGTACAAAGTATGATTTATATTCTATTTTTCAGGTGTTGGTGAGCGATTTGTACGTCAATTAGTTAAAGAAAAGCAACAGGCGGATGCAACTGGCTCAAAAATTTGTACTCCAGGAAAAAAAAAGGAAAAGAATAACAGGAAAGATCGAAATAGATGATTTTGACCTCGGTGTCATAAGAAGAAAAGTGCACGAATTTTACACAATGAAGAGAGAAATACCTACGATCCCAAAATTACTGAATGTCTTGCGACAGGAAATCAATTTTACCGCGAGTCGTGAAACCCTAAGAAAGGTGTTGCGTAAAATTGGTTTTCGATACAAGAAAACGCAATCGAACAGAAAAGTTCTTATTGAACGCAACGATATATCTGCCTGGCGGGCCAGTTATCTACATAAAATTAAGCTGAATGAATGCGGCGAAAAAAAGCCTGTGATATTTTTGGATGAGACTTATATCCACTCATCACACACTGTTGGGCGTTGTTGGCAAAGCGATGATGTTGATGGAGCTTTGAATCCTGTTTCAAAAGGAAACAGGTGGATAATTGTTCATGCGGGTGGAGAAACGGGGTTCGTTGAAAACGCCTTACTTGTGTTTAAGTCAAACACAAAGAGTGGCGACTACCATGATGAGATGAATAATACAAATTTCAAAAAATGGGTAACGGAAAAATTGCTACCTAATTTACAAACAGAAACCATAATTGTTATGGATAACGCCCCTTACCACAGTATTTGTATTAATAAATGTCCTAATACAAATACTAAAAAGGCAGACATGCAGAATTGGCTTACTGAACATAATGTGGAGTTCAATGAAAGCTACACTAAACCCCAGCTGTATGAATTAATAAAGAGGCACAAACCAGTACCTCAATATGAAATTGATAATTTGTTAAGAGACAATGGGCACACTGTTCTTAGACTGCCCCCCTATCATTGCGATTTGAATGTCATAGAAATAATCTGGAGTTCGATGAAACGTTCTGTTGCAGAACATAACATTGGAACGTCAGATGCTGAAATGCCGCAGTTAATCGCAGAAGCATTTAATAAAATAACAACTGCAGAATGGCAAAAACACTGTGCCCATGTAAAGAACATTGAAAATGAGTACCTGAAAAAAGATGCTTATTTAGATGAACCTTTTATCATATCTTTAGGAAGTGACAGTGAAAGTGACAGCAGTGATTCAGATGATGAAGTGGCCGAGGATGCTAGTACAACTACAGGAATGCCTGGAATCCAGCCTCTAAATTACGCAGATGATTGTCTAATGGATCATAATTATAGTTATAAAATATAATTCATAAAAAAAGTGTTTTTACTATTATTCCTAACCATCCGCAAAGACGTAATAAACTTCGTATTATAATACAAAGTAGTAAGATATAGAGTCTGTATAAAAAGTCACTAAAATTGGGGTAATCATTGGGAAGCTGAAAAAATTTTTTAGTTAATACTGTGAGAATTCTGAGAAACTAGTTTTAATACATCTAGTGCCCTACTATCCAACCATCTGCAGTTTTATAAGACTCGTAAAAAAATCACAGAGATTTTAAAGATTTGGGTAATTTCATATTTTCACAGTTTTCATACGGAATATTTTGTATAAATAAAAAGTTACTTATTAATATTTATTTACATAATTTTTATTAATATTTATTTTTTTGGCCGTGGAGTGCCGGCCTAAGAGTAGCACCCCCCCATATCCTCCCGTGGGTGTCGTAGGAGCCGACCGAGGGATTATACAGAAGGCGGGCAGCAGCTCCTCCCGGTATCACCTACCACCACCTACTGCGATCCCCAAGTCGCCTGCCAAGCGTGGGGATTATGGCAACCCCCCCCCCCCCTCATGATGGACGACAATGTTGTATGGCCCCCAGTCCCCGGCAGCCCCTCTATTCCTGTCTCTGGTAGCGGGACAGGTAACGGAGGGGCAGGGGGTGCTAAGAATCTCCGGCAGATTCGGCGCTACCAACACAAACGGACTCTGGCCCTGGCAACATACAATGTCCGCACACTGAGGACTGACGTGAAGTTATTAGAGCTGGAGGAAGAATTGAGCAAGTTGCGATGGGACATAGTGGGATTATCCGAAATCCGAAGAGAGGGCCAGGATACGGTAATCCTTGAGTCCGGTAACATGCTCTTCTTCCGGGAAGGAGATCAAAAATCTCAAGGTGGTGTTGGGTTTCTCGTCCACAAGTCCCTCGTGAACAACGTGGTGAAGATCGATAGTGTGTCGAGCAGAGTGGCGTACCTTATACTCAGAATTACCGAAAGGTATTCGCTGAAGGTCATACAGGTTTACGCCCCGACCTCTTCACACTCCGACGATGAGGTAGAGGCTATGTATGAGGAGATTTCTGAAGCCATACATACGACTAATACCTACTTCACCGTTGTGATGGGGGACTTTAACGCGAAGCTGGGCGCTTCGAACGGCGATGAGTTGAGGGTGGGTCGATTTGGGTATGGGCGGCGCAACCACCGGGGCCAGAAGCTGGTCGATTTCATGGAGAAGGAGGGACTCTTTGCAATGAACTCCTTCTTCCAGAAGAGACCCTCCAGGAAGTGGACCTGGATGAGCCCTGATGGTTTGACAAAAAATGAGATCGACTTCATCATGACAACCAGAAAGCACATATTCAATGATGTCTCCGTGATCAGCAGGGTGAAAACCGGTAGCGATCACCGAATCGTTAGAGGCACATTGAATATCAATGTTAAGCTCGAAAGATCACGTCTGATGAAGTCTACGCTCCGTCCTAGTGCTGCTCATATCGTGGACCCCGAAGCCTTCCAACTCCAACTGCACAATCGCTTTCAGTGTCTAGCTGAATGCGAGTCTGTGGACGAAATAAACAACGGGTTTGTAGAAACAGTCCAAGCTGTGGGGTCTAATTTCTATAAGGCCCCGCGCCGTATTAAATCTCAAAAGCTCTCAGACGAAACGCTCAAGTTGATGGCGGACCGGAGGGATATGAGACTGCAATCTTCAACCGATATGTCGGAATATGGTCGACTTAACAGACGAATTTCCAAATCGATGCGACGCGATCTGCGCTCCTATAATACTACACGTATTAGGGAGGCAATAGAGCGGAACCAAGGCTCCAAAGTGTTTGCACGAAATTTGTCTGCTGGGTCGAGTCAGATGACGAAGCTGAAGATCGACGACGGCAGGATCGTATCTTCAAAACCGGAGATTCTGATTGAGCTTGAGAGGTTTTATGGACAGTTGTACACATCATCACAACAACCCGTTGAAAGCAATGCTCAGGACACCAGAGCAAAGCTGACCCGACATCACACCGAGGATATCCCAGACATCAGCCTGTACGAGATTAGAATGGCACTCAAACAGCTCAAGAACAACAAGGCACCGGGGGATGACGGAATCACTACTGAACTTTTGCGAGCGGGTGGAAAACCGGTACTCTTAGTCCTCCAGAAATTGTTCAATTCCGTCATTCTCGAGGGTACGACGCCAGAAGCGTGGCACAGAAGCGTGGTTGTGCTCTTCTTCAAAAAAGGTGACAAGACCTTGTTGAAGAATTATAGACCAATCTCGCTTCTGAGCCACGTTTATAAGCTGTTTTCGAGGGTCATTACGAATCGTCTCGAACGCCGGTTTGATGACTTCCAGCCTCCCGAACAAGCCGGTTTCCGAAAAGGCTTTAGCACCATAGACCACATACATACGCTGCGGCAGATTATACAGAAGACCGAGGAGTATAATCTGCCACTTTGCTTAGCGTTTGTGGACTATGAGAAAGCCTTCGATTCAATCGAAACCTGGGCAGTACTGCAGTCCCTCCAGCGATGCCAAATCGACTACAGGTACGTCGAAGTGTTGAAGCGTTTGTATAGCAACGCCACAATGTCGATTCGCTACCAGGAAG